AAACTATAGACCTGCCTGACAAAACAGTCTGGATCCAAGTCCCCCGAGGGGTCACGATCCACGTTGCAGATCTGACGCTCTTTATGTCTCTTAATGTCCCTTAATTGTTTAAGAAAACATGTTATGACCACAAAAAAAAAAGAACAGATTTCTGTTCTTTAAAGGAGGCCTTCCGTGGTCAAGGTCAAAGGCAGGTGGAACGTTTATTCCACCCAGGGTGACCACTACAGATGTATATCATGTTTGTGGACAGTCTGACTGTCGCTGAGTATTTTGCAAAGACAAACGAAGAAGAGGAAAATGGCAGAAGTAGCTCCCGCTCCGGCTAAAGTAGCCAAGAAGAAGAGCATGAAGCCGAAGAAGGCCGGTCCCAGCGTGTCCGAGCTGATCGTGAAGGTTGTGGCCACCTCCAAGGAGCACAGCGGCGTGTCCACTGCTGCCCTGAAGAAGACTCTGGCCGCCGGAGGATACGATGTGGACAAAAACAAGTCCCACGTCAAGACCACCATCAAGAGCCTGGTGACCAAYGGGATAGGCACGTTCGGCTCGTTCAAGATGAACAAGCAGGCCGACAGCAAGGCGAAGAAACCCGCAATGGCCAAAAAGCCCAAGAAGGCGGCAGCAGCTGCCAAGAAGACAGCCAAAAGCCCCAAGAAGCTGGTGAAGAAGGCTCCAGCTAAGAAGGCAGCTCCTAAGAAGAAGTAAAGAGCAAATTTACACTCCTCAAAGTACCTTTACCTGTCTAAAAACATCTGCAGTTAGGTCCACTAATCACAGCTAACAAACCACAACAACAACTCTATGGACCCATCTTACTTCACTGAACTTGTGCAGCCCTACACCCCAACCAGAGCCCTGAGGTCAGCCGACCAGCTTTTGTTGGCCGTCTTAAAGCCAGGGTCAAGACCAGAGGAGACAGAGCTGTGGCTGTGGCAGCACCCAAACTGTGCAACAGTCTCCCTTTGTTAGGCTCTGTCAGTCAGTGGGTCAGTTTAATCCAGACTGAAGACACATCTGTTGTCCCTGGCCTTTAACTCTGCTTAAAGGAAAATTTGTACTTAATTTGATTGGAGCTCTTGGGAAATAACTGCAACTTATATTAAGTTTTTGGTTCTTCTTTGAATTACTATTGTTTGGTATTTTACGGCCTATTCTGTAATTGTTTTTATTTTTAACAAATTTCAGTTTAATTGTAATTTTATGTGCATAGTGTGTGTGTGTGTGTGTGTGTGTGTGTGTGTGTGTGTGTGTGTGT